TTCCGGATATTTAGTTTTGTCTTAACAAATTAATAGCAATTTTAACATAATTTTTGTAGCCTATATAACATAGACGTAGTTTCACGTTTTAGTAGAACCGACGAAGGTCTTAGTTGTTTAATAATAATAATAATAGCTTTATTCATCAATCTTAAGATAAAAAAGTACAATGGACTTACAATTACTTGTTTAAGAAAGTATATATGCTGTGGATATGTCTTTATATTACAAATTGTTGTAAGATAATTTAGAAAACTAACTAAGAAGTTAAAACTAATAAGTTCTTTAATCTAATAAGTTCTTCTGTTTGACCGAAACGTCTATATATATATATATATATATATATAATATATATATATATATAATATATATATATAATATATATATATAATATATATATATATATATATATATATATATATATATATATATATATATATATATATATATATATATATTCCTAGCGTTCCTAATGGAAACTAAGAAACTGGTACGGGGTTATTCAAACTTGTTCATTTACAATTTTAGGTTGGATGGCTGACCAAGATCATCCCCCTAAACCAAAGACACCCACAGAGGATGATGACAAATCAGAAGCACGCACATCTGTGGATGATGGCAGGGCATTTGGATCGGATATCCCAAGAGAAAATATCCAAACCAATGTAGATCAGCAAAAGAAAGAATATCGTAATGTCGGAGGTAGTGGTCAGGCTGAGTCTGAATCTGAGGAAAGAAAACCTACATATAATCACATCAGCCACGAATGCGGAAACGGTGAATCAGAGTTAGAGAAGAAGAAAGGCAACAATGCTGAGAATAGCAAAGTGGCAAGCAGTCGAGAATCACAGGAAATAAATTATATAAATTCTGGGACAGTACAAGGTGAAGTCGGCCACATGGGGAGTGAACAAGAAGAGTCAAAAAAAAGGAAACAAAACCTTGTTGAGTCTGGACATGGCGGCCAGAGAAGTTCTGCAGGAGATCATAGGGTGGGGGAAAGTGGACAAGATAAATGTATTTTCACCATAACCGAGGAAAACACACAAAGAAGTTATTCACAAGCTGCAGACACACCAGGAAACACACACAAAGGTTATTCACAAGCTGCAGACACACCCGCAAACACACAAAAAAGTTATTCACAAGCTGCAGACACACCAGGAAACACACAAAGAGACACACCAGGAAACACACAAAGAGGCTATTCGCAAGCTGCAGACACACCGGGAAACAAACAAAGAAGTTATTCACAAGCTGCAGACACATCAAGAAACACACAAAGAGGTTACTCGAAAGCTGCAGACACATCAAGAAACACACAAAGAGGTTATTCGCAAGCTGCAGACACACCAGGAAACACACAAAGAGGTTATTCGCAAGCTGCAGACACACCGGGAAACAAACAAAACAGTTATTCACAAGCTGCAGACACATCAAGAAACACACAAAGAGGTTATTCGAAAGCTGCAGACACACCCGCAAACACACAAAGAAGTTATTCACAAGCTGCAGACACATTAGGAAACACACAAAGAGGTTATTCGCAAGCTGCAGACACACCCGGAAACACACAAAGTTATTCACAAGCTGCAGACACATCAAGAAACACACAAAGAAGTTATTCACAAGTTGCAAGTGTGAACATACAACAAAAACCGTATAACATACTATCACCAATGCCACAATCAACAAAGGTAAGGAGCACGTAACATCTTGACTGACTGCATATTCACATTATGTTATATACTGAGATATTAGATAGCTTAAGATCTACTACGTCGACTTCAGCTAGGACGTCAGGGCT